GGGGAAATTGCCCTATATATACGATCTCTATCGTGCTCATAGGCATTCAAAACTCCTTCATATTAAAGTCCAATGGTCATCCAAAATTTTAGACTTCTTCCCTGTCCTTTACTCTCGATTGGTTTTTATTTGTGACCTATGCTGGGTGAGATGAAAAAACTGCAACCAACTTCAGACTGTTGTCATTTCTAAGCCACTCGTCCGACAGCTTTTAAAATTATTCCAGTGACAGCTCTCTATATTGTACAAGCGTACAAAAGCATTTTGGTGAGAATTTTCCAGAGAAAAGATATTCGTGATGGAATTGAAGCGTGATAGTGTGATTTCTTTATATTTGGCTGGAAAACCACAAGTGGCAATCGTTAGAGCACACCAGCATTTAAATGTGAACCAATCTTTGGTGTCTCGTACCATCGCTCCTTACCATGATACTGGTAGCGTAGCCCGACGTCAAGGAAGTGGACGGAAGTAAACAAGAACATCAACAGAAATTGTTCGAAAAGTAAAGAGGCGGCTTGATCGAAAATGTGAGCTTAAAATGTGCACCTTCGGTTGACCACCAGAACCGGCATAACAGCCGATGGCGGATGGATTAGAATAAATGCCGAATATTATCCCGAAAATATTTTGGAGAGTGTATTAAAGCCTTGGGCACGCAAACATTTTGCCCGCAGACCTTGAACATTCCAACAGGACTCAGCACGTGCCATCCAGGAATGGTTACGAAATAAGGTTCCTCGCTTCATTTCCAGCGCACAATGGCCACCAAAACCTCACGACGCCAATCCGTTGGACAATTGTGACTGGAGTATTTTGGAAAACAAAGTTGGCACTAAAAAATACCAAAGTGTCGAACACCTCAAGCAAGCGCTTCGTGGGAATGGCCCAAAATATCGCAGAGCAACATTCGGGAAGCGTGTGACGATTTCATTGGCAGTAGGCCATAATTCGTGCCAAGAGTGACCAATTCGAACAAATCTAAACTTATTCTAGAATTTGATACTATTTCCGACATTTTTTGCTTTCATTCAATAAAATATAAAAAAAATGTTTGGCTTTTGACTTTTTTGCGGTTTTTAATACCCTACAACACTATGTGTTGGGGGTATTATAAGTTTGATTGGTTTGATTGATATTATGTAATACCTCGAAATATTGATTTCCCATATAGGAAAGTATATATGAATCTTCCTATCTCGCCGAGATGAGTCGATCTAGCTATGTATGTCCGTCCGTCCGTCTGTCCATGTTAATTTGTAATCACGCTACAGGTCGCAATTATGAACCGATCCTCACGAAATTGAAAATGGAGGTGGGGATAAGGTCAGAATAGAACCCTATTTCCTTTGGAGATGTTCGCACGATATTTAGGGGTTAAAATGAACTGAAATTTCCTGATTTTGCAGTTGCTCTATAGATCACAATTATGAACCAAACGACGCGGGAGTTTATATGGAGTTAGAGGTTAGACCTGGACAGAAGCCTACCAATTTAGGCGGCCATCGGACAATATATAGGGTAAAATAGACCCTAACTTTTATGTAAGTAAATAGGAAATTTCCATTAAACCGCGAATATTTTTAACCCCAGCCAAATCACAACTACATTAAAAGGACACTCCTGACCATTAATGCGATGCTGTTAGCCAAGAAATCGGATATATAACAAAATGGGGACAATATATATGTAAAAGAAAGAAATCTTATTTATTCTGCTCATAAGTCAAGAACCGCTGGGTTGATTTTCACAATTCCCCTCAATTCTGAATGGTCTCTGGACAGAAAAGGATAAAATCTAAGAAAATCGCGGAAAAACATATCTTTTGTTCCATTTTTTTTTTTTTTCAATTTATGTCATATTTTTTATCGCATGCGATTTTTTCAATTTGACTTACAATTCTGAATTGAAATTTTTCTGAATTTTTACACTCCTCAACACTACGCTTTGAGGGTTTTATATGTATATTGCAATTATCGTCCGATACTCACGAAATTTTGCATTTGGGGGAAGCGTTAGCGTCAGAATTAAAGCCTAGTGTTTTCTATTGTTCTTCTATAGAGTTTCAAATGGACTAAAAAAATTAAATTTTTCTAATTTGTAGTCGCCAAAAATTGAAAACTAATCGACACGGAATTTCGCATCAGAAGAGAGTTAAGGACAAGGAAGAGGTCTAGCATTTTGGATGACCATTTCGTGTGAAATTATTATATTATATACATAGATTTAAGGAAGTAGGTGTGGCCAGTTCTTCTGACCCCAAACGGATACATTGGGTTGGTATATATATATTAGACCAAATCGATATAAAGCAACGGTAGTTAAAATGATTTATGAAAAGCTCTAAATATCTTGCCATTCGTGTAAACTGATTGCTAAGACCATTAGCTCTAAATTCTTCTATGTTAGTTTACCCGTTATAACAAGTAAGCAAAGGCTACAGTAGAGCGGGGCCGACCGTTGAATACCCTACAACACTATAATAAACGATACAGTTTATATAGGCGAGATACTCGAAAGAATTCCACAAGATATTGTGACAAATAATAAAAGAAAACCATCAGGATTCGTTCTCTAATTTTCGAATAATAGCAACTTAAACTAATTTGCCCATTTCCAATTTATTGGTAGATGTTGCACGTAAATGGTCTTCCTAGATCTGGAACCAATATTTCCCAAAGACCTATAATCTCTCAGAAGTGGCAAAAGATTAACATTTATAATTGGTTTTTGACTGAAACGCATCTATATGAGATACAGACATTTGACTATATTCTTCAACGAAATCAGCGTTAACGAAATAGTCAGAAGTGCGACTTTCCTGTATTGGTGAATTCTCCAAAATGTCACTGGAATGGACATTTTCGTATTTAGTCTACAAAAGTTGGCAAACTATTTCACACATTGAATATTTTTGGATGGCCATCCGAAACTGCTTGGCTTTTGCAATGTCCGGTAACCCCCATTCAAATGTGCGTGAGGATCGAGCGATAATTACGATCTGCCGACAATTTTGCAGTTTTTTGGTCCATTTCAACCCCTAAATATATTGCGATCATCTCCAAAAAGAGTAGGCTTCTATTCTGACCCTCATCTTATCCCCATGCAAAATTTCGTAAGGATCGGGCCATAAATGCGATCTGTATATGATATTTTGATAACCTAACTACTTAGTTTTGTTAGCTGTAGAAATATTACTAAATGTTTAATTCAAAATGAAAATATGCCAAAAATATGACGAAATTGAAAAAATATGAGAAAATTTTACAAAATCAATATTTTCATCTCTAGAGAGATATTTTTATGCGATTTTTTAGGCGTTTTTTCTTTCCTGCCAAGAGGCCATTCTGAATTAATGAGAACTTCTTTGTTAGACATATATATCGCACATATTTTGCTATATATCCGATTTGTTGGATGTTAACATCAATGTAAAGATCAGAAGTAACCTTGTCATGGCTTCGTGATTTCGCCGGGATTTAAAATATTCGCGGTTTAATGAAAATTTTTTAATTTTTTCAATACAAAAGATATGGTCTATTTTACCCGCTGAATATTATCCGATGACCACCCAAATTGGTAGGCTTCTTCCCCGCCCTAAACTCTAGCTACATACGAAATTCCGAGTCGATTGGTCTATAATTGCGACCTGTATAGCTACTGCAAAATCAGGAAATTTTTCAGTTTTTGGTCCATTTCAACCCCTAAACATTTGGCGATCATCTCCAAAAGAATTAGGCTTCTATTCTGACCATAACCCCACCTCCATTCCAAATTTCGAAGATCGAAAGTTTAAGTTTGTCATTCCATTTGTAACACATCAAAATTTACGTTTTAGACCATCAGCATAAAATTCAATTAGCGATGTCGGTCAGTCTGTGGAAATCATTCTAGCTTCCAAACGAAATAAAGTAGGTTGATAAACGTAAAGTAGGTTGTATTGGTATTGGTATTGAAAATGGGTAACGTTTTGGTATAGCTCCCATGTAATGGTACCTCCCTATTTTCGGTATTTTGGTGATTTAAACTACATTATTTATCGGTATTGGTATTTAAAGTTCATAATGAATATTAAAATTTCAAATGGATATTATATTATTTTATAACGGCACCTACCGATATTTGGTATTTTGATGATTTTAGCGACATTATTCACCGGAATTGTTTTAAATTTGGTATTTCAAGTTCGTAATGGATACTACAAATTGCTGCAATTATATTTTGATTGAGGGTTGTTATTAGGAGTTTTTTTTTCGCATTTTGATTGATAAAAATCCTTTTCTACTCAAGAAAGTGTTGATTTTAAATGCGTATTTTATGGTACCGAAATATATTCAAATGCAAGATATAATAATATTGATGATAACGGCATCACAAAGGTTTAACATTTTAGACAATCGTGGCTCTTTAATCTGTCGTTTTTCCCAAAATTCTTCGGCTCAATATTAAAATCATTATAATAATGGGACTTATCGGCCCTTGGCCCCGTCTGATATTCCAAAATCTCCTTCAGAATCCCAATTATAAATTAAAACTCACATTAGTTTGCTTTTTTTATTCAAATACTTTTTCGTATCAGTTTATTTGTCTTTGCATGCTGTTTCTCATTACATAATAATATAACAATGTATAAAATACATAAATTCATTTTTTTTATTTGTTTTTTTTTTTTTTACATTTTCTGATATTTAAAATATTTACAACATTTTATGTTTGCTATTATATGCTTCGTTGAAGACGGAAAGAAATGTTTGGAGCGATAGAGGTGAAAGGTGAGTGAGTATTTAAATTCGTTAAACTTAAAATTCGTCGTCAAAACGTCAATATTCAAGGTGCCGTATTTTGGGTGAGGCATAAGTGGGTTAATCAAAAGATTGTCAGTATCCGATTTCAGGGCAGTGGCAAGATCATAAGGTTCATTTACATTTGTTAGAATGGGTTGTAGGAAGTCTATAGAGTTAAGTTACATAGATGGATAGAGGTGGTTAGATCGAGTGACAAGATTTTGTTTTTTTATAAAAGAGACCATTGTGATTGTTTTCAAAGGAGAGGGGAAGAGAGCGAGAGAGAGAGAGTGAAATGAAGGTGACTATTTGGAGAATGAGCTGCTTGAAGTATGGACAAATTGCAAGAATCCTAAGAGTATGGGAACATTTCAGTGGCTAGAATGTGATAAATTAACAGAAATGGTAAGATAGAGAAAAATAGAGAGATAGAGGCTTTCTCTTGGGCAAGATCTTTGTTTGTTGAAAATCTTCTCCTCACAAGAGAAATGAGCGTGTGTTTTCTTTTAAGTTTCAGAAGAAAGTTGAAAGGAGGAAAAAATATAGAAATTAAGAGAAAATGTCGAGAGACCGGTGTAAATTGAAAACTAGAAAATTGTGTTCTCTGCCTTACTCTTTGAGCAGAGATATAAACTTAAACTTCCTAAGTGGTAAGAGAGTATTTATATTAGAAATAATATCCATTTTTCGTTATAGACATCCTTCGTTTAAAATCAGTTCCATGGGCTTCTATTAAAAATCAGTGGCATCACGTTAAGGGGTTGTTAGGGTTTCTGTCTTGCTTTCTTTGTTTGACTCCAGTTTCGTCCACTTTTTACCATTTACCGTAGTAACCATGGCCGACAGAGTTATGGCTTTCGGCGGCCAAGGCATTCAAATGGGCAGCACGGGCATGTTGTACTTCTGCTGGCTCTACGGGCACACCATTGTGAATGACGGGAATGTGCAGGGGACCGTGATAGGGACCGGCGGGTGTGTGATGGGCCGATGTGGCATAGTGTGAGGGAGCACCACCATGACCGCCAGCATGATCACCATCCCAACGACCGTCGTAGTGACCATCATCACCATGATCAGCAGGACCAGCAGTGGCGGCAGCTTTGGCAACGGCAGCAAAATGGGCAGCCTTGGCATGTTGGACTTCGGGAGTTTCGACGGGTACACCATTGTGGATGACGGGAATGTGGAAACCATGGGCGGCAACGGCATGACTAGCGGCACCGGGATGGCCAGAGCGAGCAGCGGCATGGGCAGCAAAGTGAGCAGCCTTGGCATGGGAAACTTCAGGAGTGTCTAAGGGAGCACCATGACCATGGCCAGCAGCACCCAAAGCCTTGGCATGGGCAGCATAATGGGCGGCTTTGGCGGCCTGGACATCGGGAGTATCTACAGGAACACCACCATGGGTCAAGACAACGGGAGCAGCAACATGGGCATAGCCGGCATGACCTCCCCACAATGAACGTTTGTACAAATGATGATGACCACCATCACCACTGTGGGCAGCAGCAGCGGCGGCAGCGGCATAAGCAGCAGCATGGGCAGCCTTGGCATGGGCAACTTCGGGAGTATCGTGGGGTACACCTTCATGAGTCAATGTGATGTGGGCCAAAGGTCCGTGATAGGCATGTCCGGCAGCATAGTGACCACCATCATAGGCAGCAGCATGAGCCAAAGCGGGCAGAGGTGCGGGTCCCTTGGGCAAATTTGTACCGGTGGCATGGAAGCCCGTATGAGGATCAGCTGTATAATGTACCGACTGGACATGACCATGACCATCCACATAGGAATATGAGCCATGCGTTACACCATCATGTGAACGTGTTTCATGTTTTTGCGAATTTGGATCAGAATAGCCATACGAATAGCTATGACTGTGGGGATCCAAGCTGGCATATTGTGTTGAAACGGCGCCATGATATGAGGCAGAGCAGGTGGCCACCAGCAGGGCTGTTGCAATGATCTAAAACGATTTGAAAAAAAAAAATGAAAACAAAACAAAATTATTTCAATAATTAAGATACCAGTGTAGACAAGTTAATGATATGACAGATAATGGGCAAGCTCGGAAACCGCATGCCAAACTGAAACTGGCTGACTGCCTTGCTAGCTAGCTGTGGACATAAATTAAAAGTCAATTGCCAAGCAAAAGATTGAAACAAACAAAAAATTATACAAATGATTAGACATAATGTCTGGCTTGCAATGGTTTATTGGCATTGCCCAAGACTGGAGTGCAGTGGAAATATATCTCTGCGACAGAGGGGAGATCAATATGTGCCCGAAAATTGTTACATGGTGTAACCAGCAAAATCACTATAATTTTCATTTATTACATTACTCTTCTGCAAGCTTAATATTGGGTCACCAGTTCACTGTGCTTTTATGCTTCGATTATGCCACTTGCCTGGCTTTTCACTTACTTTGGCCAGCCGATGGCCATAAATTATTGAGCAATCCTACAAAGAGTTTTCATTGGCTTTTCTTTATGCTGTTGCTCTTTCATTGTGGCCAAACAAAATTATTACTCCACTTCGTTTTATTATTTCTTTCGTTGAGTAATTTATAATATCTAATATTTTATGTTTTATTGCCCGGCATTATGAATTCAATTTATTAGTCAATTATTAACATTTTGCCATGCTTCCATTTAATAATGGACTTGCAATTGCTCACCAAAAGATTCGTGGGAGTTTTTAGTACGAATGCACCAGAAAAGATTTACTAGAAGATTAAATTGCATACGTGGTTCTGTTTGGTGCGATTCTGTGGTTTTTTTTTCTCTCGGGGGGAGGGAGAGCCTTAACAGTCTTTGTTCTCATCCAACAGCCAGTGGCAGTACATTGTATATGAAGTTCGCGTCTTAAGTCTTTTGTTTGTGTCACATTACCACTGATCACCACCGATTTTTTTTGAGGTCTGGTTCAAGTTTCCAATTTGTGATGTGAATAATTTTTAATTTTATTGAAAAAAAAATCATAGGCCTTGACATATGAAGTAATACAACTCCCTCTCATGGTCATTGTATGATTGATTGTGTGTGGTTTTGGGTGGAAAAAATTGAAGTATGTGTCTCAAAATCTTTTGATTTTCACACCGCCTTTGGTTGTAGTGTAATGGACACTAATGGGATTTCGTTCTTATTGATTGTTGATTTGGTGGAATAATTTAATGAAATTGCTATAAATGTTAGCGAGAAGTTATTGCCAAGCTTTCGATGGCAATTTCGGTAGAATGGAATATTGCAATTGATTTTTAAAGACATTTTCAAATATTTTCATTTTCGATACTTTTTATAGAATACAATACTGGCAAAAAAATTGGAATCATTGAATATTCCCGATATTCCAACCACAATCCATTTAAATTTCAATTCTTTCCCCAATTTCATTATCACCATATTCTTACCATTTGCTATAGTAAACATTATGACTTGGGCTACCAAGGCATTCAAATGGATAGGCCTTGACATATGAAGAAATACTACTCCCTCTCATGGCTGTTTGATGATTGATTGCGTGGTTTTGGTGAGAAACTAAGTAATGTTTGTGTCTTAAGTCTTTTGATTTTCACACAGCTTTTTTGTGAACATGTAATGGAAACGATTGCGATTTTATCCGTTTTGATTGTTATTTTGGTGGACTAATTTCCGGAAATCGTTGTAGAGTATTCGTGAGATGTTATTGTCCCAATTTCGGTACAAAGGAACATTTTTTCAATGTATGCCATATTTTTTAATAGAATACATATTGTCCAGAAAATTTAAAAGATTGAATATTCCTGATATTCGCGTCTCAATTGCAGATAATTGTATTCAATTTTAATTATTTCCAAGACTTCATTAGTAGCCACTTTTAAACATTTGCTCTACCGAAAAAGTTATGACTTTTGGTGAAAAGGCATTCAAATAGGCAGCATGGACCATAGTGGATTATTGAAATGCGCGAGGGGCCGATTATTGAGTCATAATGGAATAGTCTTCTTGTTTATTGAAAAATGTATCAAATATTTTATTTGAAAAATTGACAATTGATATAAAAACAATAATTTTTGCACCCTGGTGTAATCAGGAATGTGGTTTTGGGCCATTTTTTTGAATATAATGATGGAGTGTTTCTCTAAGGCAATCGACAGGCTTCATTCGCTTCGTAGTTTAAAGAACTCCATTTTGCGAATAAGCTTTTTTCATAAAAATAGCTTTCAGTAAAAATATTCACTCCAACTCGAATCAAATTCTGTAGTGGCACAAAAATCGCCACTCAAGACTATTTTAAAATAACAAAAAAAAAAAAACCAAAATAAATAACTTTTAAATCTGTCATTGTTAGGCCTTATACAGGATGAAATGAAACAACTGCAACCAACTTCAGACTGCTGTCATTTCTAAGCCACTCATCCGACAGTTGTTAGAATTATACCAGTGATAGCTCATTATATTGTTTACAAGCGTACAAAAGCATTTTGGTGAAATTTTTTCCAGAAAAAAAGTTATTCGTGTTGGAATTCAAGCGCGATAGTGTGATTTCTTTATATTTGGTTGGAAAACCAAAAGTGGCTATCGCTAGAGCACCCAAGCATTTAAATATGAATAAATCTTTTTTGTCTCGTACCATCGCTCGTTACCGTGATACTTGTAGCGTAGCCCGACGTCGAGGAAGAAAAAAAAATAGAAAATCACAACATCAGCAGAAATGGTTCGAAAAATAAAGAAGCGACTTGATCGAAACCCGCGTTGCAATGGCCGAAAAATGGTTCGTGACCTGAACATATCGCAATATTCCATTCGGCAAATATTGAAAAATTAGCTCGGCGTAAAGCCATTGAAGTTCCAAAAAAGTACGAGAACTTATAGCGCAACAGAAAGAAAATAGACTCAAAAGAGCTCAAGAGTTGCTTGGCTTGGCCGAAAGTGGTGAACTGCCGGATTTGGTTTTCTCCGCTGAGAAAACATTCGTTGTCCAGCAGTTTGTAAACAAACAAAATGATCGTGTTTACTTGCCAAAAGGTCAGCTGAAAATGTGCACCTTCGTTTGGCCACCAAAACTCGTATTAATCGACCGAGGCATCAGAATAAATGCCAAATATTATCGCGAAAATATTCTGGAGGGTGTATTAAAGTCTTGGGCACGCAAACAATTTGGCCGCAGACCTTGAACATTCCAACAGGACTCAGCAGCATCGCAACCAGAACGGCCCACCCAAGAATGAGGTCCCTCGCTTCATTTCCAGCACACAATGGTCACCAAATCTCCAGATACCAATGCGTTGGACTATTGTGTCTGGAGTATTTTGGAAAGCAAGGTTCGCACTTAAAAATACCAAAGTGTCGATTACCTCAAGCAAGCGCTTCGCCGTGAATGGGCCAAAATACCGCAGAGCAACATTCGGGCAGCGTGTGACGTTTCATTGGCCGTAGGCCATAATTCGTGCCAAGAGTGACCATTTCGAACAAATCTAAACTTATTCTAAAATTTGATGTTGTTTCCAACATTTTCTGCTTTCATTCAATGAAATTTAAAAAAAAATGTAAAAATTATGGTGTTTGACTTTGCTTCAGTTTTTTTTTATCACCCTGTACCGTCCTGCCGGCAATCAATAAATAAATATAACTAAATTTTAGCAATGAAACATAATCATTGTTCATGAGTTGTATGCAATTTTTTAAGTATACCTTTTCAGTAGAGTACCTTCAAGCACTAATAGTAATTTTTTGATATTTTTTTTAGGAATCAAGAAGATAATAACACCATTTAGGGACTTTTGAAGAACAGATCTGTCACATTAGAAATCGTGGATATATTTTTTAAGACATTATTGCCGAAAAAGGTAGCTTAGAGCTACTATTAGAAAACTTCTTGAAAGGTCGTTAAAAATCTCTCAAAATCTACATCAGAAAATCAAGGGCTAGTTAGCTATATTGGAACTTAAATTTAGGCCTGCGTTGGGCGCCATTTATTTCAGAATACCTTCATAACCTATTTTTATTTTTAGAACACTTAACAAATATTTTTCAGAATCGAAATCGAACCATATCAGAGTGTGATTCAAACTACATCTTTGTAGTTTATTTAATACGTTTATACAAATACCTACTATTTTTAAGGCTCTAATTTGGGATTTTCGAAGAATATTTGAAAATGAACATCAGAACTTTTATATAGCGGATATTTTGAAGATTTTGATAGATCTCTATCCGTGCATAATTTTAGAATATTTATTTTTTATTCAAACTATTGTTGTGTGTTATCTGTATTTATGGAATAAAATTAGCTTAGAGCTTCAAAAGAGCACGTTTTAAGAATAATCTCTCAATAAAAATTGAAAATTTAAATAAAATAAAAAATTTGAAAATTGAAACGAATGTTTAGATTTGATATTGAAGATGGGCTTCATCAGCCCACTACAACGTATAACCAAAATAGCTAGGATTCCTAAAGGCTAGAGACCAATTTACAAAATATGTTCATATCTTACAAATTTCAATCTATAGTCTGATTTTATGTGCTTTAAAATACTTTTTTCATCATCTTGAAACGGTTTTGTTACAATGTAATTTTTTCTCATGGTGGAAGTTGAGAATTTCAATGGCGTTTAAGTAATAACGACCTTTCCAGAAAACCTTGACTATCACATATTTTATGACATAAATTTAAAGTTTAAAAGCATTGCTTTTTATCAGATAATTCTCAATATGCGATATTATTTTAATTGAAATAAACTATTATTTCTAAAACCATTTTTCTGAATTTCTTGAAGAAGATCCTGTATTACATATTTTTTTAACACACGCGATTTTTTTTTGTAGGAAATTATCATGTTATGCTCAAATTTTGAATCAAACCAATCATTTACTTGCCCGAGATGTTTAAGAAAATATATAATTATCCTTATGGATTTCGTGGCTCACTTCACTACCTTCACAATAATTTCAAATCAAACTATTTACTCCTTAACTTTTTGCTTGCGAAATAGCTTTAATTCTTATTAATTTTAAAATATTTTTTTCTTTAATATAAATTCGGTTTTTGTAATTGTCCTTTTTTACTTACAAATACTTTCATGATTATTATTTTTTTATTTTAGAATTAAAATCACACTTAAAGAGTTCTTAAAGAATTAGAATCACAAGTTTTTTTTTTTTTTTTTTGTTAAATTAACGGCACACAATGTCCTTTGTTTTCGTTGGTTTTCCTTAGATGGGAAATTATTTTTGTTTTGAAACTAAACACACGCTCAGTGGGCTTAACCTCCTAGAATCGCGACTAGGACTGTTAACGAACTGTGCTGACAAGTGCCAAACAGCGCCAATATATACCCCCAAAACAAACAAACCACCACCAGAGTACCAACATCAATTTACAAATCCAACAAAACCAGAGCACAAATTCAAAATCAAAAGACACAAAGAAACAGCCAGAGCAACAACAACAACATGAGCAACACCACTAAGAGATCAAAAGCAAAGCAAAGCAAAAAAATATTATTCCACCCGATACTGCCACACACAAACACACATATGTATGTTTGCTTGTGGTGGCCAACAGAAACTGCAGCGCCAGCTTTCAAGTTGAGCAGAAGAGGAAAAAACACCCAATCGACAATTCCACTGCTACCCATATAGATTAGCAACAATCAAATGCAAAATAAAAGCCCCCAACGAAAAAAAATGTGGTGCACATGCGCACACACTCATCTATTAGCTTACCACCCAACCAAAAGTAGAGCGCCCAAGTCAACATGAGCAGAACAAGCAAAGAAACTCGGAACAGAATAAAAACGGCACTGCATAAAGCCAGGCCAATAAAAATCAAAAGCAAATCAGTGTACAACACCCAAGAATGTGTGTTTTTTCAGCGATTTGTTTCTTGGCGGCAAGAAAATCATTAACAAAAAAAAAAAACAAAAAAGTTTGTGTTTTTGTTTTTCTTAAAAACAAAAAAAAAATAAAAGAATAACTAATAATAAGAATTTTTATTAAGTAATTGAAATACATAAGAAAATAAAGTCAAACAAACACACACACACACACACATGCAAAACAAAATCAAAACTAAAGCAAAGTAAAGCGGAGTATTGCAAATGGAAAACATCAATTGATACGGAAATTTTGTAATTTTTCTGACCGGCAAGGCGGACAACATCAAATGAATACAATTTTTAAAAACTCTTAGGAACATTATGGCGATTGTGAGGGTGTGCATATGAAAAGTTAATTGCAAGACATTTAGTAAAGGGCCATCGTCTCCCTATATATTTGAAAAAGTACCAATAAAATTTAATCTTAATAATAATATGAGCTTGACAAATTACAATATGGAAAGTTAAAATTTTGCCACACAGTTAAAGGTAATTGAAAATACATTAAATAAAACAAAAGACTTAAGACACATGCACCAGATAAATTTGCTCTTCGCTTATTTATGGGAATTAATTTTTATGGAGAAAATAATAAAATCTAAACAAATGTACCAAACATTTCCAGATTTGTGCATTTGTCTGAATCGAATATTTTTGTCACACTATTACCTGTGAAAACCGCAAAAGCATTGAAGATAGAAAATTAAAAAAAAAAACAGAAGGTCAAAATTATGCATTCTTCGTTCTTATAGATGCCAATCTAATTTTCTTGGATTCTAAATGCAATTTTTATACCCTACAACACTATGCGTTGGCGGTATTATAAGTTTGATTGGGCCAAAAATCATGTAACACCACGAAATATTGGTTTCCCACATAGGAAAGTATATATGGATCTTCCTAGCTCGCCGACCTGAGTCGATCTAGCTATGTATGTCCGTCCGTCCGTCTGTCCATGTTAATTTGTAATCACTCTAAAGGTCGCAATTATGGCCCGATCTTCACGAACTTTAACATGTAGGTGGGGTTAAGGTCAGAATAGAACCATATTTCTTTTGGAGGTGATAGCACAATATTAAGGGGTTGAAATGGACCAAAAACTGAAAAATTTCCTGATTTTGCAGGTGCTCTACAGGTCACATTTATAGACCAAGTTAACGTGGGGCTAGAGCTTAAGGCTGGGCAGAAGCCTTCCAATTTTTATGGTCATCGGGTAACATTTAGTGGGTGAAATAGGCCACAACATTTGTGTTAAATAAAAGTCAAATTTACCATTAAACCGCGAATATTTTTAATCCCGGCGAAATCAGAAGTTGACGAACAGGTCGATTCTGACCGTTACGTAGATGCCGATCGTAAATATATCGGTTATATATAGCAAAATATATACAATGTGTATATACAAAAGAAGGGGATGTCAGTTAGAATGCTTATATCTCAAGAATGGCTGGAGCGATTTTGACAAATTTTGTACATTTAGAATGCCCTCTTGGCATAAAAGTATAAAATCTAAAAAAAATCACATAAAAAGATACCAATAATGATGCTGATATAGATTTTGTAGTATTTTGTGACATTTTTATTTTTTCATATTTTTTATCGCATGCGATTTTGTCAATTTGGCTTATAATATTAAAGTGTATATTTTGTAATATTTTTGCACTTTACTACACAGGTTGGGGTTATTATTTATGCACAGATTGCAATTATCATTCGATCCTCACGAAATTTTTGACAAAGGTAGGGTTAGGCTCAGAAGGGCTAAGCCTATTGTTTTCAAAGATGTCCGCAATATATTTAGGGGTTGAAATGGACCAGCAACTCAAAATGTTCCTGATTTAGCAGCCGTTATAAAGGTCACACATTGAAACCAAAGGACACGAAATCTTGCATGAAGTTAGAATTTAAGACAGCGGTTAGAATGGACCACTACTTTTGTGTGAAAAAAATACTAATATTACTTACATGCGATATCCGAAATACACAAAAGGCGAACTTCTGGTTTTTTTATGCTGATTTCGTTAACGAATACAGCCAAATTGATTGGAGATAATCGCAAAATATTTATGGGTTCAAATAAAACAAAAACAGAAAAAAAATCATGATATAACAATTGAAGCCAATCGAGACGACTGAGAAGATAGTTAAACATAGTGAAGAATTCTAGCATTTTGGATGACCATTGGATTATATTTAGCCGTAAAATGGACCACAAAAACTAACAGCACGGCGGAGTGCATAAATATTGGAAAATGTCCATGGTCAAAAAGCTAAGGGTAATATCTGGGTAGTACTCCGTGACATAATTTCAAAAGCGAAATCTTCCAAAATGGATTTGGACATGAGGGGGCTTCTAACATATTGTAGTGTTGTAGGGTATCACATAGTCGGCCCCGCACGTCTATATCCTTTGCTTACTTGTTTATCTAATAAAATTGATTAGTACTTAAAATTATATTAATAGAGAAGATGGGTTTTTTCTTAGCTATCTACAATTAATTGAGTTGACAAATTATTGGAATCATTGGTAATGTTTAGGTGTGTAATAAAATTTTATGTGGTCGTTCTGAATCGATTTTTTTTTTTTTTTTTGTCACAAGATTACCTTTGAAGGCCGCAAAAGCATTGATGATAGGAAATTAAAAAAAAAAAAAACAGAAGGTCAAAATTATGCATTCTTGGTTCTAATACAGAACGTTTAACGCCAATCTGTTTTTTTTTTTTTGGATACCCAAGGCAAAATATTGACCTGTCATTCTAACTATTTAAGTTATACTGAACAGCACAACAAATAATTACAGGAAACACTCAGTAGATTATTAAATTAGAGCTAACAAGTAAAATAGCAGAACTTTGAATAACCTCCACGAATTTGAACACTTTCGAAAAAGATAACATTCGGCAAAAATTCTGTTAACATTTAAAAAATACCGAATATAGCCGTTATATTAGGGCCTGTACGACGTGCACCTACATAGGCATTTTTTTTTTCACAATCCATTACCATATTCAAATTCGAAACTTGAAATAAACGGTGAATAATGTAGCCAAAATCATCAAAATACCGTACATCGGGAGATACCGTTATATAGGAACTATACGAAGACCTGGACCTGCATAGATCATTTTCTGTAACAGGCTGTAGCTTCCATTAGGAACTTCAAATACGACATCTCGTCAAAATACCGAATATAAGAAGGTACTGATGTATGGGGCCTATACAAAGACCTGGACCTGCATAGGAAATTTTCTGTCACAGACTGTAGTTCCCATTGCGAACTCTACATACGTAATTTGAAACTACTACGGTGAACATTGACGCAAAAATCATCAAAATACGGAATATTGGGAGGTACCGTTATATGAGGGCTATACGAAGACGTGGACCTGCATAGACAATTTTCTGCCTTAGGCTGTAGTATCCATTTCGAACTTCAAATACCAAATTTGAATCAATTCCGGTGAATAATGTCGCTAAAATCACCAAAATACCGAATATCGGGAGGTACCGTTATATGGGGCTATACGAAGACGTGGACCTACATGGCCCATTTACGAACTTTACCTGCCTACTAGCAATATAAACATGTGTGCAAAATTTTATCCTTCTATCTCAATTCGTTCGAAAGATAGCGTGATTAAAAAACAAGTAAAAAAGCAGTAAGTTCGGCCGGGCCGAACTTTGAATACCCTCCACCATTTGGAACAAATTAGAAAATATTCAAAAAAATAAAATCCATTGAAAATTCTGTTAAAATCTTTAAAATACCGAATATCGGTGGTACCGTTATATAGGGGGCTAACGATATCTTAGACCTATATAGATAATTCTCTTCCGAGGTATAAAGTCCCACAAGGTACTCCTTGTGTAGATTTTCAGACAATTCCGTTGAAAAATGTGGGTAAAATCATCAAAATACCGAATATCAGAGGGTACCGTTACATGGAGACTATACGATATCGTAGACCTATATAGGTAATTCTCTTCCAAGAGATAAAGTACCCACAAGGAACTTCTTGTGTGGATTTTCAGACCATTCTATTAGAAAATGTGACTAAAATCATAAAAATACCGAATATCAGGGGGTACCTTCGAACTTGACCTGCCTGCAGACAAAAGACAGATCTGTGCAAAATTTTAGCTCCCTCTCTTAATTCGTTTGACTGTAGCGTTATTACAACAGACGGACAGACGGACGGACATGGCTAAATCGTCTTAGAATTTTACGCTGATCAAGAATATATACACTTTGTGGGTCTAAAATGACTATTTCGATGAGTTACAAACGGGATGACGAACTTAATATACCCTACATATTATGTACAGGGTTGCCCATATTCGACGGACCTTTGGGCCCTTTGGGCCCATTCCAATCGACAAGGCTTGTCCGCAGGCAACATTCTTTGCGTCAATTGAATTTTGTACGGGAACGA